CCTGGACCTGGTGGCTTGCTTTCTCCCTTGCTCTCACTCTGTTTCTCTCTCTGGTTGAAATAAATGAATGAATGAATAAATAAAATAAAATAATTCTTAAAAAAAAAAAGAAAAAAAAAGTACTGTATCTGGGACCCGCAGATGGCATAGCAGTTCTGTTGCTGGACTCCCACGTGGCTGACAACAGTTAAAATCCCAGACCTGGTGGCTTCAAACTCACACCAGGCACATGTGGGCTCGTGTCCAAGATCCCAGGAGGAGAATGGAGAAGAAGGGATTGCAGTGTGGCCATCAGAAAAGTGATTTCTGATGAAAGTGATTTCTCACTTTCTGATGAAAGTGATTTCTCACTTTCTGTCTCTCTGTATCTTGCTGTCTCTCTAGCAAGTACATGTGCTCTACAGCAAAAAATTCTCTCTCCCTCTCTCAAAAAAATTCTTATCAATTTTTTTCTACCTTTTTCTTAAGATACAGCTGAATACATAACACAAAAAAAATTAAGTTCAATAAAAACAATTCTATAAACAACTAAAATCCTATATTCCAAATACATACACCTGTCTTCCATTTCAAGCATAAAATGCATGCTATACATATATAATATATATGATATGTCATATATATATGAATTTAGTTAGTGGGCTAGTAGGCATGCTAAACAAAATGCTATCTTTTTTTAAGGGTCTTTTTATTATTATTATTATTTTTTTTTTGCTATAGGGCATGTGAGCTTGCCAGAAAGACAAAGAGACAGACAGACAGAAAGCGAGAAATCACCCCCCCCAGGGGGGATGGCCATGCCGCAATCCCAACTAAAATCCTATATTCCAAATACATACACCTGTCTTCCATTTCAAGCATAAAATGCATGCTATACATATATAATATATATGATATGTCATATATATATGAATTTAGTTAGTGGGCTAGTAGGCATGCTAAACAAAATGCTATCTTTTTTTAAGGGTCTTTTTATTATTTTTTTATTTATTTTTTTGCTATAGGGCATGTGAGCTTGCCAGAAAGACAAAGAGACAGACAGACAGAAAGCGAGAAATCACCCCCCCCCAGGGGGGATGGCCATGCCGCAATCCCTTCTCCATTCTCCTCTCGGGATCTTGGGTATGCACGCACACGTGCCTGGCGTGAGTTTAAGCCACTGGGTCCGGGACTCAAACAGTGATTAGCTACATGGGAGTCTAGTGACATAGTCATTACGCCAACTGCTAGTCCCCAAAATGCTGTCTTTTATTAGCTTATAGTTTTGTCTTCAAACATTTCATTTCTTTTTGCTGAACTCTTAAGTATGAATTAAATGGGAGAGTTTGGAGGTTTTATTCTCTCTCAAGTTCAAGTATATATATTCTCCAGGCAGGACCATTGTGATTTCAGGCAGGAAAGTGAGCTTGCTGCCATTTTCTTAAAATTCAGGTAATTAGCCAGGGTGTAGACTATTTGATGGTCTTCCCACTAATGTCTGAGTATAACGCTAACAGAGTTACTGCAGGCAGATTCAAATTTTTTTCCTTAGAAAAGTAGTTGACGAGGCCACATGGTGGTGTAGACCCACACAGAAGCGATCTGGGGTGGCATCACACGGCCTCTCCAAAGGGCACACAGGCATGCCTATCATCTGGACTGCTGGGACTGGGAGTGTGTGAAGACCCTGTTGGGTGCCTGACTTTCTCTGTTACGGAAGAGATACATGAACCAACTTTTTTAAAAAACAGAACTATTTTAAGTCTACGCTAATACAAGGTTAAAAGGTAACAGACATCCTAAAGTCCTGGACTGTTTTTGCACAGAGAAATACACCATGACTTTTTCAACAACCCAGTATTTTTTTCAAATAACTGATATGAAATTCAGAGAATATAAAACATTTGCTCTTAACCTAAGACTCAGTCTAATCATTTTAAACTCACCAACTCAGTGGTGAATTAGTACATTCATAATGTTATACAATAAAACCATCTAGTTTCAAAACATTTCCATCACTCTAAACTTAAACCCTTTTCTCGGGGCCAGCAGGTGGAGTGGTAGTTAAAGGCGCTGGACTCCCACATGGCCAACTATGGTTCAAGTCCCGGACCTGGCGGCTTGCTTTCTCACTTTCCCTTTCTCAGTCTCCCTCTGATCAAACTGGAAAATAATAATAATAAATAAAGTTAAATAAAAATAATTCTTAAAAAAAAAACCCCGAAAAACAAAAAACCTCTTTTTTCACTGAGTAGTCTCTCCCACTTTCCTCTTCCCAGGCCCTTGGCAACTATTAATCTATTTTCTATCTGTACAGATTTACCTATTCTACTTAAATTTCATGTAAATAGAATCATACACTATGTGATTTTTGTGCCCGACTTCTTTCATTTAGCATAATGTTTTGGTGGTTCATGTATGCTGTACCAAATATTGGTACTTTATTCCTTTTTATGGCTGAATAATACTCCATTATATGTATATATTGCAATTTGTTTTTCCCGTCATCTGTTCAAAGACACGTGGGATATCCCTACCTTTTGGCTATTGTGAACAATATTGCTATGAACATGCCTATACGTGGATTTTTCTGAATAATTGTTTTCAGTTATTTGGAGTAGACATCTAGGATTGGAAACACAGAGAAATAAGGTGGTTCTATGTTTAATATGTTAACAGCCAAACTGTTTTCCACAGTGCTAAATCATTTTTCATTTCCACCAGCAATGTGCAAGAGTTTTAATTTCTCTATATCCTCACTAACATTTGTTATTTTTCATTTTTATTACAGTCATGCTAGTGGGTGTGATACAGTATCTCACTGTGGTTTTAGCCACACACCCTAATAGGTAATAACGTTGGGTATCTTGTCATTTTTTTGTTGGTCATCTGTGTATCTTTTAGATAACTATTCAAGTCCATTGCCCTCCCCCTACTTTTTTTTTTTTAAAGTTTTGCCAGAGGGTGTGTGTGTTCACAAGGAAGGAAAGGAGAGAGAGAGACAATGAGAAAACACCTGCCATGGGGCATGGTTATGCCACAATCCCTTTTCCCATTTCTTCTTCTTTATGGGATTTTGGGCATACACACATGCATCTGGCATGTCTCAAGCCACCAGATCTGGGACTTGAACTGCCCAGTCAGCCATATGGGATCTAGGTGCCTTAACCACCACACCACAGGCCATTTTTTAGTATGATTGATTGTCTGCTTATTGTTGAGTTGTAAGAGATATATTTTGGATACTAAATCCTTACAGGATATAATTTGCAAATATTTCCTTCTATAATCCTAAAGTTTTATTCCAATGGTTTTTAATCATTTTTCAAGGCATGACTATTTTTTTCAAATATACCATGATCTGTCTGTATTTTTACACACAAAACTCTAATCAAACATATAAAATAAATTAAAATGAAGCTGCTAGTAGTAGTAAAGAAATCTGAAACCCTGACTATGTGGCACTGTCCTATAGCAAATCCCAAAAAACTTGCACAGAGCAAGTTTTAATAATAAACACATGTTTTCTACAGCACTAAATTTTTTTTTAAAAGAGAGATTCTGGTATGTGTGCTTGTTGGAGAGAGACTGAAAGCAAGAAAATCACACCCCGGGGGAATGGCCATGCTGCAATCCCTTCCCCTCCATGCTCCTCCAGGGATCTTGGGCACATACACACACATGCCTGGTGAGTTTCAAGCCTCGTGGTCTGGCACTGGAGCCACAGTTGGCCGTATGGGAGTCCAGCCACGTAACCATTATGCCATCTGCTAGTCCTTCATTTTGTACAAATTTTGACCTGTGTAAAACACAGGGCACAGTTTAGAAAGACACTGTGCTATACCACAACTCTTGGTCATTCTGTTAAAATATTTGAGGGACTAGCAGTTAGCGTAATGGCTATGTCACTGGACTCCCATGTAGTCAACCACAGTTCGAGTCCCGGATCTGGTGGTTTAAGCTCAAGCCGGGCGCGTGTGCGTGCGTGCCCGCCCAAGATCCTAAGAGGAGAATGGAGAAGGGATTGTGGCATGGCCACAGAGGGTATATGCACCCTAAAGGACTATTAATATCTACTTACCCCAGATCTGTATCAGGTCTACAACCAATGAAGAAGTACTCTGAATATACCTCCCTTACTGCCATTTAAAAATAATAAGACCTTGGGACCAACAGCGTAATGGCTATGTCGTTGGACTCCCATGTAGTCGACCACAGTTTGAGTCCCAGATCTGGTGGCTTAAGCTCAAGCCGGGCGCGTGTGCGTGCATGCCCAAGATCCCGAGAGGAGAATGGAAGAGAAGGGATTGCGTTATGGCCATCTCCCCCTGGGGGGTGATTTCTCGCTTTCTATTTCTCTGTCTGTCTCTGTTTGGCGAGCGCACGCGCCCTATAGCAAAAACCTCTCCAAAAATAATAATAATAAAAAAACCTTAAATAAGGATCTTGAATCAAATATCAAATTGCCACAAAAGCAGCAGAGAGTCAAGCATTATTAAGTGGCAGCCCATTATTTCATTAGAAATATCACTTAAAGAGTAATAATGCAGGACCAACAATTTTAAAAAGGACACATTTATAGCAGGAGTAGGGATAATCTGTATTGAGCTATCAGCTCCACCCTTAGTCCCATCACATATCCTGTGATATGGATTTAACAGAAAGTGATAATTATGGGTTGGCTGTCATGTATGGTAATAAAAGATGCAAAATCTTCGTGTGTGTGTGTGTGTGTGTGTGTGTGTGTGTGTATGTGTAAGATGAAACAAAACCCCAACCAAATAAAAAAATGTAAACTAAACCAAGTTTATAGAATTTCAAGTGTGTATTATTAGCAATGGTATGACATCCACAAAATGCAAAGAACTTTCAAAGTACACTTGGTCGCTATTAATAATGACAAAACTATTTGCTTATCCATTTGCTGGATTATAATTTAATTCCTATTTTTGAAAATATTTCAAACTCTTGTTTAAAACGGTATTTCCTTAAAAACAACTTTGAAAAAAAAATGCTTTTACCTCTTCTTCCTCAATTTCAGAGGTGTTAAGTTCATGTTTTTGACAGTAAGGACCCTCTTTCCAAGCTTCAGTGTCACCACAGTCACAGAAACCTCCACCTCCTGATGTTGTCATCTTGAAAAAAAATTACAAAGCATCTTGTCAATAGGTATTTAGTGAGACCTATCAGATGATAAGTAAGAACAGCAAGAGCTAAGGAAATCACATTGCTTAATCTAAGTAATTTCAAAATAAAATAAGCTACTTTGTAGTGCTGAGTAAACTACAGATAGTTTAAAGATTTGTCTGCCTACATGATTTCCTTAATTAGAAAATCAAGGGGATCATGACAGTTTTCCTACTGGGTCTTGGCTAAACTGGTATAATGCTTTCAGCTATGCTAGCAGGTTACAATGTGCAGCAGAACCAAGGGTTGTAGAGATTTCTATGTCCCCTAAAAGAATCTAGTTAAGAGTGTGCCTGTAATCCCAGAGGCTCAGGAAGAACGGGAGCCTGAGGCCTGGGCAACACAGCAAGTAAAAAAGAGCCAACAGTGGTGGCGCGTATGCAGCTGGGTGGTCGAGGCAGGAGGACCTCAACAGCAAGCCCGGGTTAAAAAAAAATAAAGTGGTGATTTGCCCAAGAGAAAGGCAACGAAGACTACAGAAATAGTTTATTTTTCTTCTCTAATCTCCCTGAATAGTCACTCTTTGAGAAGACAAGTAATAAAGACTCAGGAAATACAAAAGTGGATTGACTAGTCTATAAAAAGTTTTCACTACCTGTAAGGCTCAAAAATTACTCATACCTCCTTAATATACAGCAATGAGTCAAGAAATCGGGCAAGACAGAACCTGTAAGTTATTAACGGGTAGACTAGATATTCTGCTTTTCTAAAATACTATGAAGAAGACTTTAGGCAGAGATATTAGATGTGGCAAATTTTAGAATAAGCCCTATTATAGTCTACCCCAAAGTTAAGTATGTGTGTGCTACATATCACAATATAGTTAATGCAACCCTATAAATGACAGTTATTCCCAAGGATACAAAGACCTATATCAAGAAACATAGAAGGTAGCCACTTCACCTAAGAGCTTGTGTGCTTATTCGTTACCAGACACAGTAGAACAGCTTAAAACGAAGTGAAATTCTCTTACTGACTTAGGGCAAAAAATTACACACAACAAATGTTCCCTAACCTTTAAGTTTTCAAGGTTTCTCTTCAACTTAAAGTAAAGAAACCTGGGTTAGAAATAATCCGCCTTTATTTGTAACCCTAACTTAAAAGCAAACATAACTGATTTTTAGAAAAACATTAACTGCAATATGGCAGGGAAAAAATGAATGAAATTGGGTGGGTCTTATGCACTAGAACTGGACCCTCTCATACACTGTAATAGAGGCCTCTTAAATAAACATTGAAAACCAGCCAAATCAAAATAAACTACTTTTAAACCAATACAAAAGAACTGATAGCATGTCATCTTCCTTAAATCATGTGTTCCAAGAAACATGGATTCATGATTTCTACACTGACATTATACAATCACCAGTGTTTAAATGACATGTTGTTTCACCCACCTCCCCCGTCTTAGTGTTAAATCTCTGGGTTTTAGAAGAAAGAAAAGGTATCTAGTATAACATTCAATACTGGATATGCTTTTTATTTGGACATTACTAACCCTATATCGATGGTCTCTGTGAATACTTCCCAAAAAGCACTCCATGCACAAAACACAAGTTGGATCAACTGCACAGTCTCTGTAAAGTTAAAGAAAAAAAAAATCAGAGTGTCATAAAATAACTACATATCTCACAACAGAATATTTCAAATTGGAACCCATGCTAGAAGAATCAAAACAGTGAAGCTTCTTGGTGTTCTAAGAAAGGAAACAGTCCCAAAGACCTGTCAGATCTCTGGTAAATAAAATCAGTTTGAGAATCTGCTTTCCATACTGGTTGTGTACTAGGCAGTCTTTCAAGGCACAAATTACTACAGTGATACATTTCAATTTCATGGTAAATTTTCCAACGGATTTGGGGAAATCAAATTATATATTAAAATGCACAGATGTTCATGGCCTAGATTAAAAAATACATATAAATTCTTAAGATCATTACCTTGGGATTTCACATAACTTTCTTCAAACAGGTGCTAGAGACCAACAGTCTCAAAGTGGTACCGACATCAGCTGGGATGCCAAGAAAACAGTATTACAACTTACACTTCTACTTCAACTTTAACAAGAAGCGGAGGTCAAACGTCCTATACGTTCAGCACACAGATACAGGTCCTCTGTCAGCCCAAACACCTGGCATTCACACAACACGAATGGCCCAGGAGACTTCCTGATGGGAGAATAAGATTCTACAAAGTGGGCCCTGGGGAGGGGAGAGGGCTGACAGAGGGCTCATGATGTAATCAGTCATGCCTATATAATGAAATCTTCACAAAAAGCCAAAAAGACTGGGTTCAAAGAGGTTGCAGATTTCTGAACACTTGGAGGTGTCTGCAAGGTGTTGTGCCCAGAGAGGGCACAGAAGCTCCACTTCCCACAATCTTTGCTGGAAGCATTTCTTAAATTTGGTTATTCATCTGCACTCTTGGTAATAGCCTTTGTAATAAATGGGTACATTTACATAAAATGTTTCTCTGAGTTCTGTGAACTGATCTACTAAACTAATCAAAGCAGAGGAGAGGGTCACAGGAACCAATTTATCGCTGGTGATCAGTTGGCCAGAAGCTAGGTCACAATCTCCTAACTGTGACTACTGTACAGACGTGAGCAATGTCGTGGAACTGAGTTCTTAACGTGTGGGATCTGATGTGACTCTAGACAGACAGTGACAGAACCGAATCCAATTACAGGACACCCAGCTGGTGTCCCCTAGGGACTTGCTTGTGCTTGGGGAAACACTCCAACGTAGTGCTCCAACACTCAGAAGCATCTGTGTTGAATATATTCAAAACATTTTTTCTCTCTACTGTCTTAGTGCTAGACACTTGGATTACCTCCAATACCTTTCTACACAAATAATGCTACAATGAACATGCCTGTAAATGTTCTCTCATAAATCTGCTTGAAACTTGCTTTGCCTGGAAACGCAAGGCCATACACATGTAAGGTCCTTATTCTGCTCAGTGCTACTGTCCAGAGAGATTAATGATCCCCAGCAGTTTGTGAGCATTTTGATAGCCATGTATTTTTACCAGCACTTGGAATTATCCAATTTGTCTTCTTTGGTCACTAGGAGCTACTTTCATTTGCTTCCGTGTTCTTTCAACACTCTCATCATTTTGTTCAGCAATTATTTATTTGTCACATTTAATACTCTAAGCTCATCTTCAACCTTCCTGCCCCAGCCCTGGAGTCAGCCAGGAATCTTGGTTTGTGATTAAAGAATGAGAGATCAGGGCTGCCGTGCAGCAGTAATACACTGCTCAAGAGAAACCAGATCCCCATGGCTTCCATGATTTGAATCCCCAGCCTGGTCAGCCTGAGACATGTAAGGCCCACATACAAGTGCCCAAGATATGAGGCTAGAGGACTGAAGGAAGGGGGAGGAGGGGCTGCAGTGTGATCAGACCTGTGAAGGGTACTTCTCTCTCACTCACAAGTGTGTGCATGCACTCCATCATGACTAAAGGGAGAAAACAGAACAGGATCAGAGCCAAGACTCTGGACGCTAGGTGTGGCTGCTTCTTGGCCCTTTTAGTGCAGGGCTAGAAAATGTTTGTGCGTGCAGGCACACACACACACTCATACACACCCCTATGTCCTTTATGTTAGAAATCCACGAGTTCAATATGTCTGGCTTTCATTATGACAATATGTTCTAGTTTATTCTATTTTAAGAGTTCCAGGTCAACCTGTGGTGTGGTGAAGGCAGCTGGGTCCCACATAGTCAACTGTACAATTTGAGTCCTGGACCCAGTGGCCTGAGAAACACGATGGACCCATGTGTGCAGCCCAAAGTCCTGAATGAAGGGAGAGGGGAACGCAGTTTGACCGTTCTCCACAGAAGAGTGCTCTCTTACTCTCCACCGTCTCTGGGAAGTGCATGCACCCCGCACTGCCAAGGAGGGGACTGCAGTGTGACTAGACCCTCTGGAAGGGTCTCTCTCTCTCTCTCACATGTGCACGCATGTTTGCTCCTGAAACGAGCCTCCCTGGGAACACTGTCGCACATGTGGATTTAAAGATAAAATCACTCTTAAGGGGAAGCAAGAATCTAAAAGGAGGAATAATTGTTGAAAATGACTTGGGAAGCTCAGGAGATAAACGATTTCCCTAGTTATGAAACCTATCCATAGGGAAGTCCCCTCTGTCTAACTTCATGTGGAGTACTTCAGGGCAACCTGACAGCCTGTTCCTAAGAACGGCCACACAAGGGGCCTCAGTTCCACATGATGTGCTCTAGCTGGACAAGCACTGACCCAGCCCAGTACTCTTCTCAAGTTATTTTTTGCCTCTAATTTTCCGTCTATCAAATCTTCAAACTCCAATTTTTCCAGAGGTTCTAGGGCCATCAGTTGTCTTCTGTACTCTTATTCTCTTGATTCATTTCTGCACTAAGAATTTTCAAAATTATTGTCAGGAAACATACTTCATGAATTTCTCTTTAAAGCTTTTACATTCATGGACCAGCAGATGGCATAATGGTTATGTTGCTGGACTCTCACATAGTTGATCATGGTTCGAGTCCTGGGCCTGGTGGCTTAAAACTCATGCTAGGCGCATGTGCATGCACGTGTGAGAACCCAGGAGGAGAATGGAGAAGGGACTGCAGTGTGGCTGTCCTCCCTGGGGGATGATTTCTCGCTTTCTGTCTCTGTCTCTGTCTTTCCAGCGAGTGCATGCACCCTATAGCAAAAATCTCTTAAAAAAAAAAAAAAAGCTTTTATATTCACTGAAGTGGTCCAGCAGGAAGCTGAACTTGTCTGGAGGCCCTGGCTGGAAGTTCTTAGTCCCGAAGTTCACGGCAGTTGACATGAAGGCGACACTTGCGAATACAAACCAGAGTATACAGGTCGGCCAGCCAAGAAACGCCCCAACTAAAGCTTTTTTTAAAATTGCCATTGGTTCTGTGCACTCACGAGAGGTGGGGAGAGAGCCCCGAAAGGGTCCTTGATCATTTTTCCTCTATTTCTCTATCGCATCAGGATTTTGGGGGTGTGTGTACATGCCCAGTGTTTTTTTCAAGTGTTAAGGGCTGGGATTCAAACTATGGTCAGTCATCTGGGATCTGGCTCCTGATGCACAGCACTGAGCTCCTGCTCTATAGGTTGGCCCTACCCAACTAAAATGTTGACAGGTTATTTGGAACTGAAGAACTTCCAGAGTACTAACTTCCTTATAATAACAAATTGCGTCTCTGATTAGTTCCTATTCTTTTACTCAAGTTTTAAAGTTTACTCCATGAGTCTTTTCTGTACCTGATTGGATTAACGTGGAGGCATCTTCTGGTTTTGCTGTTTTACAATATACGTATTTAAAAATTCTTGGTTTTTAGTTAAGTCTGAAGAAAAGAAATAGTATTGATTTTTAGTGAATACGGTGAACTCAAGGCAGTTCCAATAGTTTGTTGATTCTGCTGTTGCTATTATCTTCCCCAAGATAAATAAGTGCATACTCTTTACATGATGACAACTTTCTCTCTTCCTTTCTAATATTTACACCTTTTACTTATTTTCTTTCCCTTACATGTTGACAAGGACTCAATAATGTGTGACACAGCAGTAGTAACAGCAGGCACATCCTCACCTCACTCAAAACTTAAAGTAAGTACACGTAAAGGTTCTCCATTATGCATTATACTCACGGTTGGTTTTCTTAAAAGTGCCCTTCTAGAAAGAATCATACATTTAGCTTTCTTTTCCTATACAAATTAGACCTCAGGGCAATAAAAAGATTGCTGAGGAATTGTTTTTAAAGTCTAGCTAATAAACGAAGAAGAAATAATAAATTATTAGGTTGGTGCAAAAGTAATTGTGGCTTTGCACTGCTGAAATTTGCTGTTTGAGAGTGGATACATTCTTAAATAAATGTGATTATTTATACATCATTTTAATGCACATTTCTTGCCTTTTATTTGCTTAAGACTTATTACTTGCTGTTTATTTTATATGTATTTTAGACAATGCAAATAAAGATAACCAGTAAACAAGTTCGAGTGATTTTCTTATTCAAGCTCAAAATGGGTCGTAAAGCAGTGGAGACAACTTGTGACATTAACAATGCACTAGTGCAGGAACTACTAATGAACTATGCTGCAGTGACGATTCAAGAAGTTTTGCAAAGGAGGTAAGAGCCTAGAAGATGAGGAGCGTAGCTGCTGGCATCTGAAGTTGACACTGGCCAATGGAGAGCAATCATCAAAGTCAGGCCTCTTACAGCTACATGAGAAGTTGCAAGGAATGCAATGTCGATCATTTATGGTTGTTCAGCATTTGAAGCTTGATAAATGGGTGCCTCATGAGCTGACTGGAAAAAAAAAATCACTGTTTTGAAGTACTGTCTTTTCTTATTCTATACAACAACACTGAACCATTTCTCAATTGGATTGTGACTGCAACTACAAGTGATTTTATACGACAACCAGCTCTGTGGTTGTACCAAGAGGACACTCCAAAGCACTTCCCAAAGCCAAATTTGTGCCAAAAAAGGGTCACGGTCACTGTTTGCTGAGGGCTGATCCACTACTACTTTCTGAATCTGGGCAAAGCCATTACATCTAAGAAGTATAATTGGCCACCTGGC